ATGGAATATAAATTTAGCTAGTTATTTGTATTTCTCTTTATTTTTCCTAAGCTAGAAACATAAAGGAATTCAACTAGCTGAGAACCAAAGCTATTTTTACTTCTAAAATTCTACAGAGCTGATGTAAGCATTATGCCCACCTTTGGTCCTCAGCTCCATTCAGACCTGAGCTCCTCTCTGCCCTGGAGTTCCCTCCCCCTCTGCTCAAACCCACCTGAGATCCCATCTACCTCACTTCTGACCCTCAGACGCTGCTGCTACCTAGATAGTGGAGTCACCATGTGGTCTCTCTCCAGGGGAAATATAGCTCCTCCAATAAACCTTGTAATAATCTTTCTCCTGTGCTTGCCTGCTTCTGAGTGGTCCCCTGGGATGGATGTGATGGATCCTTTCGGCTGAAATACCTTTCTTTTCACACCCACTCCTTCTAATGCTTGGAGGAAAAATTGAGACAAGGGCTGGGAAGATAGCTCAGTGGTAGAGCGCTTGCCTTGCAAGCATGCATGAGGCCCTGGGTTTGATTCCTCAGCACCACATAAGAAAAAAGAAAGAAGTGGCGCTGTGGCTCAAGTGGTAGAGTGCTAGCCTTGATCTGAAGAACTGAGGGACAGCGCCCAGGCCCAGAGTTCAGGCCCCACAACCAGACCCCCCCCAAAAAAAAATTGAAACAAAACCTGAGACATTAGCACTAGATCTGTCCTGACCCATGTATAGCAATAACAGAGCTACTGCATTAATGTCAATTATAATAGTAACCAGGAAACATTTACTGAGAATTTGACAAGCATGAGAAACTACTCACTCTCCATGGGTGGAGTAGTTTCTTGAACTCTCCAAATCCTAATGAGTAAGAACTAACTTCCACTTACAGATGAGAAAAAACCTAAGTCAAGGAACAGAGACATGAAATGATCTGTTCAAGGCTACAAAGCTAAAATCTAGGAAAATCAAGAGTTTATACTGCAGAAGCAAACTCCAGAATCATATTAATTATTGCTGTTTGGCTATATTAGGCATCTTCCCAAAGTCCATGTGGTTTAAGGCTTACTCCTTAAAATGATACTTCTGCAAGGTGGTGGGGCCTGTAGAAGATGGAATATAATGAGAGGTTTTAGATCACTGGCATGCTCTCATAGGGAGGTGAGAGCCCAGTCCCTTCCTCGACCTTTCACTTTTTAGTCATGAGATGAGCAGTTTTACACAGCTATCCTATTATGATGTGCTGCCTCACCAGACCCCAAAACAATCACAGACTCAGCCTCCATAGCTTTTCTCCTCTTTTTATGTGTATTTTTTTGTGCTAATACTATGACTTGAATTCAGGGCCTTGGGCTCCCATTTGGCCTTTTCCAATTATGATTAGCTCTTTACCACTTGAACTACACCTCCAGTTTTATATTTTGCTGTTTAATTGAGATGGAATCTCAAAATTTTCTCTGTTCAGGCTGGCTTTGAACTATGATCCTCAGCCTCCTGAGTATAATCCTAAGGTTATAGGTGTGAGTCACTGGCATTCAGCTCCTTTTCTCTTGATGATTATTTCAATGAACAATGCATACTTACACACAATACAATCACAATCCTTGCCTGAGCCAACTTTCACAAAAACAATACTGAAGTGGACCCTGAGATGGAGCTCAAGCTGACATGATTCCATTTTGAGCTTTGCCTTTGTTTTAGGGATTTTAGACTGGATAGGCCTAGTTCCCAGAATGAAAAAAATGCATCTGTCTGGTCCCCCTTCCTTAACAACCTAACCCACCCTTGATTGTTCAGTTAAAGACTGAACAGTAATGCAGATAAATTGTAATCTTGCTCAACTGGCAACACCACCTGCTTTACTGGAGCAACCCTGCCTTCTCCCTGCCTTCTGCCTGCCAAAATGCGAACCCCACCTTTTGCCCACCAAATTTGCTCGCCAATTCAAACCAAAATAATGGGATAGTTTAAACAACTACTATAAGACTAACTCCACTGACTACCTGTGTGTGGCCTAACGTGACTATGCAATCCTTTGTGTGTGTTGCGAACCGATTAGTCACCTGCATGTGACTAGGCTTGACTGCATGGATTTTGCCTTTAAAAACTCTAGTTTGTGGGCCGTTCAGGGTTGTAGTTATCAGCTCCAGAACCTGTGCCATGGCCCTGGTGGTCAGTGTAGGAACTTTCTCAATAAAGTTGCTTCTTTGCTAACAACTTTGTTGTGGTGGTCTCTGACACTCCAGACGACTAGGTGGGTTTGCCTGCCTGAGTAGGGGTCTTTCTACTATAATACCTTCTTTTTCCTTTTTTATCTATGCATATGCCATTGATCCTGAAAGACTGCTGCTTGTAAAACACAAATGAACTCTCTGAACTAATTGAGAATTGTCTATTTCATTCATTTTGTCCTAAAATTTGAAGTCATAAAAGACATATAGCAACTATATATATATATGTGTGTGTGTGTGTGTGTGTATATATATATAGTTAGTTAGTTAGTTAGTACCAAATGTACAAGTTAGCCAACACATGCTAAATTGAATGCTAATGCTCTCATTTGTTTTATTGTGCATCTTCTATGGATAAAAGCTATAGCAGATGCAAATGTCATAAGATTCTCACAATGACATGAACAAAGACTGTTCAATAGTGATAACTGCTTCATAAAAATATTAAAGACAAGTAAAGCATGAAAGGCACTCATTCTTCCCTCACGAAATGGGATGTTCCATGGAAGAATGCACATTTACAAGAAGCCAAGACTCATCATTATTTACGCATTTCACACATAATCAACCAGTTGGGTTACAGTACAAAGAAAAGGAAGAAGGAAAGGAACAAGGAAAGAATATACATCATAAAGTTACAATAAGACTATTATTACACTGAGTTAAAGGTATCTACTTTCAGTAGCTGTAAAGAACAAAAGAATTTTAAGCAAAGGAATGAAAAGATTTATAGTCATGCTATGGATCGAGTAATACCTAAACAGTGTAGGAAGTAGATTGTTAAATACTCAGTCCTATCAGGAAGTGAGTATATTAACAGGATGTTTCTGATAAATAGTGATTCATGGATAATTATGAAGCAATTGAAGATAATATGTGTGAAAAATATTTTATAGCACAGTAAGTTACATGAGAAAACAAAGACACAAATGAAGATGGAGCTCAGTGATAGTGTTTGCCTGGCATGTGCAAGGCCCTGTTTACAATCCTCAGTACTACAAATAAATGAATATTTTTCCTTTAAAAAAGGGAGGGGGGCCGGGCGCCCGTGGCTCATGCCTGTAATCCTAGCTACTCAGGAGGCTGAGATCTGAGGATCATGGTTCAAAGCCAGTCTGGGCAGGAAAGTCCATGAGACTCTTTTTTTTTTGGGTCCAGTCGTGGGGCCTGAACTCTGGGCCTGGGCACTGTCCCTCAGCTCTTCAGTTCAAGGCTAGCCTATAGCACTTGAGCCACAGCGACACGCTTTTTTCTTTTTGCTTATGTGGTGCTGAGGAATTGAACCCAGGACCTCATGCATGCAAGGCAAGCGCTCTACCACTGAGCCACCTTCCCAGCCCCTGAGCCACCTTCCCAGCCCCCATGAGACTCTTATCTCCAATAAACCACTCGTAAACTGGAAGTGGCGCTGTGGCTCAAGTGATAGAGCACTCGCCTTGAGCTGAAGAGCGCAGGAACAGTACCCAAGCCCAGAGTTCAAGCCCCAGGACCACAAAAATAAATAAATAAATAATGAATAAATAAATAAATAAGGGGGCCAGGCACCAATGACTCATACCAATAATACCACCTATTCAGGAAGCTGAGATCTAGAATCATGGTTTGAAGCCAGCCAGGGCAATAAAGTCTATGAGATTCGCATCTCCAATAAACTCTTCAGAAAAGTCCAGAAATGGCACTGCAGTTCAAGTGGTAGAGAGCTGGCCTTGAGCAGAAGCTCAGAGACAGTGCCCAGGCCTTGAGTTCAAGCCCCAGGACCAGAAAAAAATATAAATAAATAGGGAGATGTGGAGGGGGAGGAAGATACAGAACTTATTTACAGAAAAAAATTACAGGGGGGGCTGGGAAGGTGGCTCAGTGGTAGAGTGCTTGCCTTGCATGCATGAGGCCCTGGGTTCAATTCCTCAGCACTACATAAGCAAAAAGAAAAAAGCTGGAAGTGGCACTGTGGCTCAAGTGGTAGAGTGCTAGTCTTGAACTGAAGAGCTGAGGGACAGCGCCCAGGCCCAGAGTTCAGGTCCCACGACCAGACCCCCCCCCCAAAAAAAAAATACAGGGGGCAGGAGGAGGATGGGAAGAGATGGGAAGGGGAAGCAAAGGAGGAGGTTACAATGCTTGATAAGAAATGTACTCATTATCTTGCCCATGTAATTGTAACCCCTCTGTACAGTATTTTCACAATAAAAATAAAAAAATTACAAAAATACAATAAAATATAATTGGTCATGGCTTTTATTTGGATAGTGTAAGATTATGGGAAACATTTTATTCTATTTTTCTTCCTTTTAAACAAACTGTTTAAAATGAAAATCATTATTTGTAGAGTCACAATAGCTCATACCTGTAATCCTAGCTTCTCAGAAGACTGAGATTTCAGGATTGGGCTTGAAGCCAGTTTGAGCACACAAGTCCATGAGGCTCTTATCTCCAATTAACTACCAAAAAGAAATGGAAATGGAGCTGAGGCTCAAGTGGAAGAATGCTAATCTTGAGCAAAAAAGCTAAGGCCCTAAGTTCAAGCCCCAGGATTGGCACACACATACACAAAAAATATTATCTTCTGCTCCAGTGGTTTATGACTGTAATCCAAGTTATTCAGGAAGCTGAGACACCTCCAACAAACCAGAACATGCAGGACTGTAGGCATGGCTTAAATGGTAGCATGCCAGTGGTAAGCAAGAAAGCCAAGTGAAAGCATGAGACCCTGAATTCAAGCCTTCTTTAAAAAGTCATCCGTTTCCAAGGGAAACAGGAAGCCTACTCTGTCACGCAATGGCCAATGTATCTTACCTTTGGAATCCACTTCCCTCCTAGGAAGTTGCCACAGGTAGGGCACTTAGGTGGTTTGTGCCTGGTGACATATGTAAAAGAGCAACCTGGGCTGGTACATGTCCCATGGCCCCGGCGGGTATATGTAGTGGTCTGTTTGAAAAAAAAAAAAAAGTGTATCAGAATCAAGACCACAACCCAACATGAGACCCTGTTGACAATGACAGACACATTATCAGAGCACCAGAATGCAGAATAGCAATTCAAGGTTTAACAGGAAAGGTTAGAATTATAAAGGTACAAGTAAAGGTACATGATGCTAAGGTACAAGTGCACTTTTAGAAATAAAGAAACTAAATTCAAAAGAGAAAAAGACAGCTTCCCAAAGTTAGTTAGGTATTAGAAAAAAGAAAGGCAGTTATGGTTGATATTGAGCCAAGGTATCATGTAATATATCCTTGTATTTTGTTTAATACCTTCAAAAATGCTACTAAGTAATTCTTATTAACATTTGGACTGAGAATAAATGTTCTGCCTCAAACCATATAATCAATCAAGGACAGATCTATACCTAGAAATCTTGGTCCAAGATTTCTTCTGCTACCTAGTTAAGTCTCTCTAGATCTGAATGCTTAAAGAAGAAAAAGCTATGCACTAGTGTTCAAGTCTGTAACTCTAGTTTACCGAGGGGCTGAGACCTGGGAATTGTGGTTCAAAAAGCCAGCCCAAGGAGATGCTTACCTCCAATTAACCTCCGAAAAAAAGCAAAGTAGAGCCATGATTCAGTGTCTACGTAGAGCACTAACTTTGAACAAAAAGCTCAGGTATAGTGCCTAGTACCTAGATCTTGAGTGCAAGATAGACAGACAGACACAGACACACACAGACACACACACACAATCTGCTTAATCTTTTTCTTTTTTAGTTAAAAATCAGAAAGGACAAGACCAAGGACCCAGAGATAAACAAATAGACCCATAAACAAAAAAAATTAAACTTAAAGAGGGAAATCCAAGAGCAGAAATCAGGTCCCTGGATTTTTGAAAGGATCTCCCTTTGAACAAAATGTATTACAATGAATCAATACATCTTAGCTACAAATAGAAACTCCATTCTTTAGCTTCAATCCACATCCTAGACTAATGTAAGAAAGAAAACATTTCCCTGTCAGATTTGCTCTGTCCTTTACAAATGTTCATTTAACTCTGAATCTGTCCCTAGCTCCCTCTGCCAGGAAGCCTATGAAAAGCAGGTAATCACAGTGGTACCAAGTCAAGGATGAGTGAGTGCAAAGTGGTGTGATACCAAGAAGAGAGTAAAGGTACTGAATGTCAACTCTGCCTGTCACCAACACAGAGAATAAGTCATCTGAATTCTTGAGCCCTAGGTTTCTTCTGTAAAAGCACTTGTTCTTCCTACTTTACAGGAGTGTCTTGAAAACAAATGAAGCAGAAGTGAGGATACACACATATAGTAAATTCTAAAGATTCTAAGGTTTATAACTCACTTATCAGTAGGATAAAAAGTATCTTTAATCATTTTTGAGACCATGGCCAAATGCACTATTTTCTGAAATATTTCCTGAAAGCAGAAAAGTAATTTAATTTAGTACTCTAAATGAACTACCATGAACTGGGAAATACTGCTAAGCAGTAGGCTATAGAACTGACTTTAGAAAATAAAATGTTACGTAGGGCTCAAGGCTGATGTTTCAGTCCCAAGCATTATATTAGCCTTCACACAATTTTTGGACTATAACATGAGTCATTTCCAAGAGTACAAGGGCTCACAAAATAAGCAGTTTCTCATGAATCAAGCTCTACTGGCTGTTCCTGTTTTAAAATACTACAGCTTTCCTACCCCGAGAACATACTGATTAGCTAGGGAAAGTGGTATGTCTGTAATCCTAGCTAATCAGGGGACTGGAGCATGAGGACTGCTTGAGCCCAGGAGCCTGAGTTAGCTCCATCTGGAACGAACAAAAACACTAAAGAATATATTAATTATCTGTAACAGTTTTTGGAGCTCAGACAGATTGTGATTAAGTTGAAAATATATATTATTGTTGGGTACCATTGGTGAATGCCTGTAATCCTAGCTACTCAGAAGGCTGAACTCTGAGAATCATGGAGCCAAGTCAGCTCAGGTAGGAAAGTCCATGGCGATCTCCCATTAACTACCAAAAAACCCAGAAGCAGAGCTCTAGATCCAGTGGCAGAGTGCCAGCCTCAAGTGAAAAAGCTGAGGGACAGCATCTGAGTTCAAGCCCCAGTACAGGTACCCATACTCGCTCATTTACACACACATAAACTCTTTTGTTTGTGGAGGTTAGATGGTAGAGTTTGCTTAGTTCATCCCAGTGCTACAAATGCCTTAAACCCTCCAACTAGAAGGTTATCACAACTGGAAGTTCGATTTTTTCCCCCATCTCTCAAAATACTTTGCCATATTTTTTAAACAATTTAAAAGATCTTAAAATTAGAAAAGCACTTCCCTATATTCCCAAAGTTAATTTTGTAGTTCAATGCTATCATGTTGTTTTTAAACACTAGGAAATTTCGTAAACATTTAAAAAGAAATCTTAATAAATGGTGAAATAATGAGTATGGGTGTAAGTACTAACATTATTGGAATTTGGCAGAATATAATGGCATTTACCATCTCTTGAAATTGTGTTATTTTGTTGGAGAAAACATTTGCCAGAAAGACTAGCACTTAGTATTTGAAAAGACTGTAAGGTATTCACATGTCACTATTCATAACGTAAAATGAAAAACTGCTTTTATATCCAAAGTGCTAAGAAAAAAAATGAAACCAAACACAGCTTGAATAGAGACAACCTACTTGTTAGAACTTTGGAAAAAGGGGGCTGGGAAGGTGGCTCAGTGGTAGAGTGCTTGCCTTGCATGCATGAGGCCCTGGGTTCGATTCCTCAGTACCACATAAGCAGAAAAAAGCTGGAAGTGGCGCTGTGGCTCAAGTGGTAGAGCCCTAGCCTTGAGCTGAAGAGCTGAGGGACAGTGCCCAGGCCCAGAGTTCGGGCCCCATGACTGGCAAAAAAAAAAAAAAAGAACTTTGGAAAAAGATATTAGTTGATGGACTGAGGAGGTTCCAACACCCCAGGTCCTGGTAACACGCATTTCACAGTGTAATTGTGGAGACACCTAAATCTAAAGAAGTGATTTGAGCGGAGAGAACTTGGAGTGTGTGCCACCACAACCAACATGAGTTTTTAATTGAAAGGAAAAGCTGGCCAACAAAATGAACTCACCAGTCATTTCAATTATTCATTGAAGGACAACCAATCTTTCCAGTGCTGAAGTAGCTGTCCAAGGGCTCTGAACTGGTTGAGGGCTGCCCCGGAACATGGATTCGGAACACACTGAACATCATTTGGATGTTTGTTTCCAATTATTTGCCTGTTATTCTTTCTGTGCTGTGTGGGCTTACTCCTGGACATCAGCAGCAAGGAATGCTCAATGTCATTCCTCCCATGAATGTTTCTCAATCCTCTGAAATCACCAGCCAGTGTGTGGGATACCTGCTGTGTTGTGCATGGCCTAAGTGTACAGAATGGTCAATGGAGAGGAGTTCTGGACTCGTAATGTCCCTGAGGCCCCCAGTGCCACAATGACCAGAAAAGCAGGTTATATCAAGGCCATTATGAATCTCAGTGGTTAATATGGTCAGAACAATAGCCCTAATTCTGCATGAAGACAATGAACATGAACAGATATGTTTCTTGTTGCTACTTCCTGAAGGGCAGTAGGATACCTGCTGGAAATTGTTGATAATAGTTGAATTAGGGAAAACAAAAATATGACTTCTAAAACTACATACCTAACTAGCAAGAGTAAACTGAACAGGGTTATATGGGGGTGGGGCTGTAGGAGAAGGAAGCCCCCTTTTTTCATGTTCCTCTCTGACCAATGGAACTCAAAGGGCACACACACACATTCCATGCTGTCTAGTAGCACTGGTATACACTTCTGCTTGTTACACCACTAGCAGCAGTTGAGAGAGATAGAGGTGCTGAATGGTGATAGAGAATTGAGATGGTTTTGGAGATTTAGTACAAATAGTTAACTGGTAGTGATTTCAAGAATAGAGGTAATTTTAGAGAACCTAGGAATGTGCCCCCCATGCCTCACACACACATACACCCCCACCCCGCCATGCACACACATCTTCCCTGTCCTAGCTGGTATGTCTGAGTGGACAAAAAAAAAAAAAAAATTAGCTGCAGGAAAGAAACTAGCAAGAATTCCAGCAGAGGATTGACCTGATGGACCTGCACAATCCAAGAAAAAGAGGAAAGCTAAAAAGGAGGTGACACTAAGATAACACCGCTGGGGACTGTAATTCAATTGAGGGTGCGGCCAAAGACCACACAGACCCTGAGCCTCCCCCCTCACCTTTGGACACAGTCAAGAGCTGCCAGGGTCAAGAGGGTCACAGGTCTCAATAACACAGAGGATCTGGAAAGGTGCAGCTAACACCTGGCACTTGCCCTGGATTCCAACAGAACACAAAACCAGCAGCTCTGCAGTGAGAGAGATCCAACAACTGAAACATGAAAAGAAAGACCTGCAGGATCAACAGAGGAAAGAGAAAGATGATGATCTGTGTGCAGGAAGCACTGAAAACAGAGCTGGAACTTCACAAGCTAGCAATACAGATGCTGGTGTCAGAAAAATTAGATTTACAATCTCCCCTGGCCCACATGTAACAGGTGGCCAATGAAAGAGAACTGGAACACAAAGGTCTTGCTAGCTGCCTGCAGGCTTCACAACAGTGCATCACAGAGCTAGAGATGACATTGTCTGCAGTCTCCACCATGCAGAATGAGACCAACAAAAACAACTTAGAGTGCATTAAAGCCCTGAATGACATGGAGCTGCAGCTCCAGGCAAAGGCCAAAAGCTATAATGACCTGGAGGAAGACAACATTGAGCTGCAGGAGAGGCTGGAAGTGCTCCTGACACAGAAGGCTGACGTGAAGATCAAAATTCACAAGTCTCAACAAGCACTAGGAGAGCAGGCAGAGTTGAAAAGACAACCAGACAACAGGAAAGAGTGACAGAATTAAAGCTGGAGAGAGACACCTCTTAGAGCAGATGAGCCAACTGAAAGAGGAGAGAGAGCAAGGGATGAGGCAGGTGTTGGACATAGAGACCAACTTGGTAGGACTGAGAAAGCAGCTGTCAGAGATGCTGCCCCTGCAGCTCCCTAAAGGGTCATCTCAGGCTGAGCAACAGCTGCAGGCCCAGGCCTTCCAGGTACAGAAGGAGCTCAAGCACCTGGAGACGCAAGTTCACATCCACGGGGAGGAGAACCAGAGCCTCAGTCTCCAGAACCTGGGGCAGCAGCAGTGGCTGTGGGTGCTGGAGAAGAAGACCAAGCAATGGGATCAGCATGCTGAGGATCAGCACAAGATCCTTGAGACAACAGAACAGGAGACCATGAGATGCACATGATGCAAAATCGAGAGCTGAAAGATCAGCTGGTCTAGGGGCAGGTTGCTTTCCACAGACAGAGTAGTGAGAAGGAGGAGCTTGCCAACATCCTACCCTCAGAACAGCAGGTGAAGAAAACATCAGCAGAAGCTAGATTAGCTGGAGGAGAAGTCAGAAGAACAGAAAGAGATGAATGAGTTAGAGAGCCAAGCAGCTCAGAATCTGCAGGAGCTGAGAACCATTAGGACCTGGCCTCTAGTCAGCAGCTGACCTCAGAGAAGGAGGCCCTGCAGCAGCACCTGCTGAGGCAGACCTAGCTGCTGGAGCAGCTGAAGCAAGAGCAGGTGCACACGAAACTGGAGAGCCTGACAGTACCTCAAAAGTTACAAGACACTCTGACTGAAGTGCCTGGAAGCAACAAGGCATGAGAACAAACAGCTGTGGGCCCAGTTGAGCTTCCTGACTTTCCCTGGGAAAGGTGAAGCCCTTAGCAAAGAAGTAGAAAGGGACCAGATTAGTGGTGGCTCATGTCTGTAATCCTAGCTACTCAGGAGGATGAGATTTGAGGATCATGATTCAAAGCCAGCCCAGGCAGGAAAGTCTGTGAGACTCCTATCTCCAATTAGCCACCAGAAAACTGGAAGTGGCGCTGTGGCTCAAGTGGTAGAGACCTCACCTTGAGCCAAAGAGCTCAGGGACAGCACCCAGGCCCAGAGTTCAAGCCTCACAACTGACAAAAACAGAAACAGTAGGAAGGAGTAAAAGGGCAACTGCCCAAGATGTGACTGTCCCAGAGGATCTAAACAACCTACAAATCAATGTGGGATTTTTACCTAGAAGTACTATCCATTACTGAATCAAAGAAAGGTGAAGCTCAGCTGGCAGCTGTAGAAGCAGCAAACCTGTTGTGGTTGCCTGGCCAACCTGGCAGCCCAGTGCTAGAGAAAGCTGGAGTGCCAGGCCTCTTCCCCTCTGGGAGACGGACCAGGACATACAGGTGTCCAGAAGCTGAAAATCTCTGCTTCATCTGCAACCTGTCAGACAAGGCAGACTACCAGAATCAAGTGAATGACCTCAACATTGATGCAGCCAGTTGTCAGAACACATTATCACCATTGAAGAGTCCATAGTTTTCTATAAAGAACACATAGAAGTCCTAGATGATCTATATCAGGATAAAGGTGAGTGTGTAGGCTGGCTTTCCCAGAAGAGGAGGACGGAGGAGGAGCTGAAGGAGGTCCTGTTATGTCCTGCACGTGAGGACACAGTATGCCAGGGGAAGATTTTGGCAGCCTCCTTGACCCCTGTTGCTGAGGCCCCTCAGACCTGTGGGACCCTACGAAGTTGAAGCAAGAGTTTGAAGAGGTGCAACTTGAAGACTGTGCAGAACCTCCCCAATGAGAGGCTTGGGTAGGTCCAATGGTAAACTCCACCACAGAGCAAATGGTGTCACTGCTCCCCAATATGCATCACCATTAAGAATTTGCAGCGGTTGAGCAATGAGCCCTCCTTCCCTTTTTTCTATAGATTGATGCAAATAATGAATTTGAGATAATTGCTATCTAAAGACCTGGCAGCCACCACTCAGCGAAGTAGGCTCTCATTCTCTTCCATGTACTCTGTGACCCAGCATATGAGTGGCATTTTCTGAAGCCTTGTTATAATGGGTTATGGGAAGTGGTAACTCCAGGCCAGACAGGGCAGAGGTTGTTGAAAGTGGCCCAAACTCTAGGGAACATCTCCTAGTCCATTGCTTGCCAGAGAAGGTGTCCTGATAGTTATTACAAAGAATAACCTGTATACAAATGTCGATCTGTGGTAACATACCTGGCTAGTCTCTCAACTAAACCATTAAGCTGGGCCTGGTGGTGGGTTCCTGTCATCCCTGGTACGAGAGAAAGTAAAATAGGACGATGGTAGCCCAGGCAGCCTGCGCAAAAATGTTTCAATGAAAACAAACAGGGCTAGGGACAGGACTCAAGTGTTAGAATACAGGCCCAGAGTTCAACTTCAAACTCCAATATAACGCACACACACACACACAAAATCAACTGTATTACAAAATACTAGTCAGGAGCAAATACTGAGAAGTACTTAACATACCATTTATAACTAACCAAAAAGACATTTAGAGGTAAATCTCAGCTCAGATGCTGTAGCCTATGATAGAAAAAACATCCATACCGAGATTAAAGAAACCAAAATCCTGGTTCTGGTTTACAGCTTAAGAGACCTTGAAGTACTTTCTCTTCTTTGGATCTATTTTCTAATCTGTACAATCACAGTATCTAATTGGATCAGAGGCTCTTTAATTTTTCAAACTCATATATGCTCCCGAGAATTTAATAAAATTCATGGAACTATTTCAGGGAAACCAACTTCAAGAGAAGTTTTATATGACTTGAGGGAAATTTGTGGCTTAGTGGGAGCTCTACTATACAAGCACAATTTGTAAACATACATGAAATAACTAAGGTTTTTGCTAGTTTCAGTCTTCTATTCCCCATGTACTAACCAGTTTGATAGAGGTGGGATTCTCCACTACTGAGTAGGCAGGTAGAGGCACCATGATGAACTGAGCAGCTGGTGCAGAGGAGCTACCTTCACTGGAATCCTGTGGGAAATGAAAAAGATAGTGTCACTGAAACAGTGCAGAACACCAAGGCCACCCACACACTTGGAACAGTCAGTCTAGTCCAATATCATAGACAATATGCTTATCCAAACTGCTTATCAAAAGAAAGAAGTCTGGTTATCTCAAAACAGACTAAAGAAAGATAAAACTACAAGGACTAGACCTGGGAAGGACTTCTTTGTAGGGGTACCTTCTTTCTTTACCCACCCAGAGCATGTTGTGTCACTTAAGGCTGAGCCAAAAGACTCTCATCTAGGATAGTAGCTCACACTTGTAATCCTAGCTACTCAAGAGGCTGAGCTCGGAGGATCATGGTTCAAAACCAGCCTAGACAGGAAAATCTGTGAGACTCTTATCTACAATTAACCATCAGAAAACTGGAAGAGGCACTGTGGCTCAAAGTGTTAGACACTCATTTCTGAGGCAACTATTCCATCAGGATAAAAGTTGCACGTGGGGGGTGGAGGGGTGTGTGTGTGGGGGGGGGAGGTGGAGGGTGTGTGTGTGTGTGTGTGTGTGTGTGTGTGTCTGTGTGTGTCTGTGTGTAAAACCCATGTGCTGCTTTCCCTTCATCTAAGCATGACAGATTTCCCTTTTCTTTCTCAGTTACTGTTATCAACCTGAGTGTGATTGTCTTTCGATGCCCAGTAATTCCTTTGAATGTTTTTCATACACAATTCAAGCACTGTTTGTTGAAACTGACTTGAACACAATGGTGTTAATAGCCTGACAAGTCCTGGGTTTGCCTTATAGATAACCTAAATACTGTTTCCACTTATGTACCTCATGTACCATCTTAGGTGATAGAAATGCAGGCTGAGCAGAGCAAAGAAACTGATGAGAACTTTAGTAAGTCCCAGAGTCAGAAGCACTTGATAAATTACTCCAGTACAAGTGCTATACCAGCACTTTAAATGACCACGGCTCCAAAATTACTACATGGTGCTGCTGGCTGCCTTGTTAGTAACTCCAGATAAAGCAAAAGACATTAGTACCAAAGCCACTTACCCTCACAACTGTTACCACTGACACGCTCTCCCCAATTTGGGGGTGGGGCATAGCCAGGCTTCCAGGGGTAAAGTCTGGTGAGCCATTCAATAGGGTCTCTTCAATTACCAAGCTTGTCTGGTAAGGCTGGTGGCTCTCCCCTACCTCCAAGGAAGCCTCCTCCAGAAGCATATCCTGGCTGAGGATCTCTGAGGTGGCAATCTCCTGTACACCACCTGGCTGAGCAAGGGCTCCCACCTCCTCAGCCAATGCCTCCACAGCCAAGCACTGCTCTGCCATGCTTGCATGGCTGGAAACTGTCTCTGGGACAGTGTTGGACGGAAGAGGAAGTCCTTTAGGGGGTATCTGGTTCTGAGCCATACATAGCTCTATCTGAGGGCAGCTCCGGTCCTCCTGTAGGCTGCTCTTGGGGATGATGATATAATCCGAGCGGGGTAGGATCTTGCGGAAACCAGGAATGTCTGGAACCACAGCAGTCAGTGCAGAGAGCTTAGAGTTCTGAGGATGACGAAGAGAGAAGCAAATGGACTATGGTCAGACAGATACACACTGATCAGCTCATTTTTTTCCCCTGCAAAATAACCAAAAAGACTGCACTTTTTTTTTTTTTTTTTTTTTTTTGGTGTTGGTACTGAGGCTTCAACTCAGAGCCTGAGTGCTGTCCCTTAGCTTTTTTAGTCAAGGCTAGAAAGCTATTACTCAAACCACAACTCTAATTCAGACTTTTTAGTGGTTAACTGTTTACTGCCCAGACTGGCTTCAGATTCCAATTCTCTCAGATCTCAACCTCCTGAGTAGCTAGGATTACAGGTGTGAGCCAACAGCATCCAATTTCAGGCTACACTTTCTTGAGCTAACAGACAGGGTCAGCCTCCATCAACATTATTTTCATTTAAATGAATGTACCTTACGTGTTCAATCACACAGGAAACAGATAACATGGATTGAATTATGAACAGAACACTGATCTTGGCATCAAAACTATGCTCTGGAACACCAGGCCTGGTATAGTCTTGAGCAAATGCATTCCCCTCTTGTGGCCTCAACTGTCACATCTATAAAGGAAGAAGACTCTAGAAATGCATGAGTTCCCTTCAACCTTTGGTATTGTAGGATTCCAAAGTACAATTTAAGCACCAGATAATGTTCATTAAAAATCCCAAAAGCAAGTTGGGAGTTGAAGGCAGTAAGTCAGGATTCTGAATTCATCTGTTTCTTGAAGACTGACAAGAATGATGAGTCAAGAATGGTAGTACATGTCTGTGATCCCAATATATGGATAGGAACTAAAGGGAATGTTAGCCTGGGCTACATAATAAGACTCTATTTCAGAAACGGAAACAAGCTGGGTGCTGATAACTCCTGCTTAGGAGGCTGAGATCTGAGGATCATGGTTTAAAGCCAGACCATGCAGGAAAGTCCATGAGACGCATCTCCAATTAAACACCAAAAAGCTCAAATAGCAGAGTGCTAGCCTTGAAGAAAAAAGCTCAGGGACAGAGCTCAGGTTCTGAGTTCAAACCCCAGGACTAGCACAAAACAAAAACGAAACTAGAACAAAATAAAAAAGAAGGGGACAAGCCGGGCACCGGTGGCACACGCCTGTAATCCTAACTACTCAGGAGGCTGAGATCTGAGGATCACGGTTCAAAGCCAGTCCAGGCAGGAAAGTCTGTGAGACTCTTATCTCCAATAAACCACTAGAAAACTGGTAAAGCACTCACCTTGAGCTGAAGAGCTGAGCAATAGTGCCCAAGCCCAGAGTTCAAGCCCCACGACCGACAAAAAAAAAAAAAGAAGGGGACAAACAGGTCATAAAACTGAGAAGACTCTGATCCAGAGTATTTACCAAAGGGCTATCAGATAAGGTCCTGAATATATTAAGGAGGATAAATGGGTATTAGCACTGATATAGTACCTTACACATTTAGAAAATGCTTTTAAACTCATGATCTAAGTTTGTCTTAAAAAACAACACTATTACTATTATTCCCATTTAACAATATTCCCATTTAACACATAAGAAAATTAAAGCTAACAGATATGAGTTAAATTTCCTAACCACAAAATTAGTAAATTGTAAAGATCTAGATTTCATGTCAGGTATTCCAAAGATCAAGACCAACTACTAGAAATTCAGCCCTGTACAACTAATTAGCACCAAGAAAAAGCATTTTTGTTTGAAAAATTTCAACTTAAATGGGAAGTCATCCCCCAAAAGATTAAGGATCTTTTAAAAAGAGTGCTCAAGTCAATTATAAAAAGTTAGTGAAATCAAAAGTAAGAAGTCAATGAGACTACTTAGGGCACAAAGGCAATACTTAGAGATAAAAGAAACTAAGCACTTAGATGAAATATGCAAGCAGGCAGACTTGAGTCCTTTATTGAAGTAATGGAGAACTGCATTCTTAGACCACCCTTTGAAGCAGATAGAATAGAGAAACAAGACTAAATGGTGGCACATACAAAGGAAGGTCTGGACTTAACCCAAGAACAGAAAAACTTGGATAGTCAGGATAACACTAGTTTTTCAGACTGGAAGGAGTAACACAGAACCATAGGCCCCATATTTGGCAGGAGATCTGAAGAGCCACCAAGGAATAGCTTGCCCCAGGGGTGCCAACAGGCTCCCAAGACATATACCTTCACTCTCCAGGAAATCTGGGGAAGGACAAATATAGCACATTAAGCTTCACTCAGACATTGGAACTTTCCAGGTGTTCAATAAATGCTAACTTTTCTTATTATTAATTTAATCTACTTAACAACAACATTTATGGACCAAGCCAATGTGTTAAGAACTCAGCAGAGAGATTTCTATCATCTATTTTAAAAATTATGAATAGTTTTAAGTGTTTTTACATATAAGGAAACCAAGACTAAGATAATGATGAAGATAAGGTGTCTGTGACTTATAGCTAAGTATGCCACAGTATTGTGAAATTTATGTAATCTCAATAAAGAAATATTTGAAAAAAAAAGTTAAATGATACTTCTATTAAGGTCACTCATTTAGAAGAGTTATCAGAGCTACTCTAGTCATCATTTGGCTGTAGTAGTAGAGATGGGTAAATATAAATAAGGACAGGAGAAAGGAAGAATCATTGCACATGGTTAATTCCAAAGTTTTAAATCTTATTAAGGACTTACATTAGTATCTAGTTTTAAAATCCAAATAATTCTAGGATTAGACAGCATTTTATCTCTGACAAAATGGCTGCTGATAGGAGAGGGTAGAGCTTTAGGGGTTGAAAACCTCAAGTGTTCTCTGCCATTGAGTTACACTCCCAATTCCTAATAGTGTTGATTTTATAATGCAGAAACCAAAGAGAATAGGTGTATTTTCTTAAGACTTTACTTCTTCTACAGAGATTCTCAAACTCATTTTAAATAAATCATCTAGAGGAGGGAATAGAGAGGTGCATCTTCAAGAGTGAAGGTTACACAAAGCTCTTTTAAGGCAGTGGAATGTCAAGCTAGTAAGGATAATGTAATCTAAATGGCAGTTACAAATGGACTCCAACAAGGGAAAATAAAGCACATTCTGCTATAATGTGGTTGTTACTTTCCAAAAGTAACAACTTTTCTCTACATTATCAAAAACAATTTTGAGACAATTACTTAAACTGAAAAGAGGAGTTCAAGTTAAAAGAATTCAGCTTGCAGTAACAAGAATTTCAGTCTGAAAGAAAAAGCCATGCAAGAACTTGAGGCCCTGAGTTCTAGCCCTAGTATTGCCACAAAAAAAAAAGACAAATGAACAATAATCACCAGTTTACCATCACTGTATTTTGTCATGGGAACTAGAACTAATAAAATGGCAGACATAAATCTAACTACTTCCTTATTAATTTTTAAAATGCACATTTAAGAGCTCAGCCTCAGACTCTGCCATCATCTCTAACTTTAATCTTGCCTCTTTTTTTTTTTGCTTCTAGCATGATTTACAACCAACAGCATTAAGAAAGACTCTGACATTACACAAAACTGCTATATCTTAACTGTAAGCCTAATTCCTGATTACATTATAAGGATACCAGTCAGTGTAACACAAAGTTACACTGAATTTTATAATATGAAAACACAGTATAAGGGAAATGTTTACAGAAGTTATTATATTAAAAGGAAATTCTACTAACTAGCCATGAGAATTAGGAGCTCCATTATACTAAAATTTAGTCCAAAAAGTAAAGTAAGATTCACTGCACAGAACTCACAAAATGCCAGCTCTATATTCTGTTGCAATCAAAGAGAACAACAGAGTTCATAAAATCATCAAATGGAAGCAGATAATGGCAGGCTCAAGTAAAGTGATAAAAATCTTCCCAAGAAAAGAACAGGGGGTATAATTACTTACAGGATCCAAACCTTCTTTTTCTAATTTGGCTTTCTCCAAGTAGTAACTCCTCTCGGCCACGCTGAGAAGCCTCCAGCTCTCACTGATCTTTTTATTGATCTCAGACTGTGGGAGGTGGGGAAGCTCTTGCTGCACTTTCAAGTAGATGTCATAGTAGTAGAGAAGATAAGCAGATCTGAGGAAGCAATAAATTTCTTCCCTTACTCAACCAGCACATACTATAATGTTAGGGGCTGGGCAATCAACAAGTTTATATAAAATCCAACTTCTTGATTGAATGCATTTACCTAAATAGGGACTAGAGGTCAAGCAAATATTATTTGTGATAGCCTAGATGGTGTTTGGTAAAGACAGCTGTGCTCCTTTTAAACACTTAGAAGCAAAGGTTCATCTAGACCACTAGAATATATATTGGATATATATCCAGGAATATATTGCCTTAAAAGCCAATAGAGCCAAAGAAAGATCCAAGCATGCTATTATTCCTCTCCCAGGACAAGGTTACTAAGGGAAATGATTACCCAAGCTGGCTACCAGTTACATTTTTTTGCTCCTTTACATAGTCTTCGGTCATTTAATATGTAAAAAGCACCTCCTCCAGGCTGAGAGGAAAGCAGTAGAATGATCAAAGTTACCAAGACACTTGCAGTGTTCATAGTTAAGAGGGAGATTAAAACTGCAATCTAGGTATTTTCTATAGATAGCAATGGCAATATTTACAACTTTGTAATTTTATTAATGTCGTCTTAAATATTTAAACAATACTAAAAATAATGTATTTTGTGTGTAGATTCTCCTCTGAATGGTGCAATTTCTTATGACAGCCAGGAAATATAATGAAACTGTAACAAGAATGACACATGCTGGCATAAATCCCACCACTTTCCATTGCCCATCTCCCTCTCCTCCACCCCAATGCCCATTCAGACTTAAGTCAATTAAACGCTTTCTCAATGAATCTTTCTCAATGAATCTCAGAAGTCTTCTCCAACATAGCTCTTTAAGTAGCTTGTTCATAAATACCAGCAACCACCAAAAAAATTGGCTAACCTGGGTTTCTTGGCCTTTTCTCCATGTATTTTGTATTTTTTCTTCTTCTTGGGTGGTCCAGAGGAAGTATAACAGTAGGCTTCCTCAATTTCCTCCATCAGGACAGTTACCTCAGTACCATCATATGATGCATCCATGGCTAGAGGAAAATCAAACATAGTGTTTTAAGAATCCATCCTACAAGGCCAAGAGCTTCCAGATCAAATAATCCCTTACCTCTGTTGGATTTAAGGCTTAGCTATTTCCTAAATTCAAGATCCTAAGAAGCACACAGGGACTTGATAAACATCCAGATTCCAAGGCTCTACTCAGTCCTCTGAATTAATCTCCAGGAAAGGCAGGAAATGTCTGGCCCACAGAAGGCCCACAAAGTCATTTGATACATGATAAGATAGACACTGTGTTAATCACTTTCGATGTTTCTTGATGGCTGCTTTCAGCTGCCTGCTTGGACTGATCATTTTATAAGGCCCTCAAATGATGTTAAAAACACCCACTGAAAATGAAAATCTGAATGCTTAATAAATGCCTCAGGTGATTCTTCTGATTAGGCAAATTGGGGACCACTGGCTCAGACAGCTTTTTCATTTACATTCACTCATGGGATACGATAATCCATCACCTCAGAGATTATCAGTCTCACATAACAAGAACCCATATTAAACAGGTAATAAGAATACCAGGTAGTAGTTAAAAGTTCTGGACCCTCCCTTATGTTTTACCACCATAGTCATCCATTCAAACATTCAATAAGAACCAATACAAGAGATTTCTTGGGGCTAGGAATGTGGCTTAGCGGTAGAGTAACTTGCCTAGCATGCATGAAGCCCTGGGTTCAATTCCTCTGTACCACATCATCAGAAAAAGCCAGAAGTGGAGCTGTAGCTCAAGTGGTAGAGCACTTGCCTTGAGCACAGAGACTCAAGGGCAGTGCCCAGGTCCTGAGTTCAAGGACCAGGACCAGGGGAAAAAAAGATTTCTTTACACTCTTGCTAGCTTGTGTGACTTGAGGGTAGATCTTTTAACTGTTAGTCTTCTCCCCCCCCCAGCCTCTCTCCCTCCCTCTCTCTTTCTCTCTCTCTTTCTCTCTCTCTCACACACACACATCTCATTGAGACAAGACTCAAAAGGATTTAATAGACAAACTCTACATGTGCTACACAAATTAAAGACAACTATCTGGGGGGAGATATTTAACAACCTGCCCAAGACTACCAGGCTTAAATGTAGACTTGATTTTAATTTTAAAAATGCAACTCCCTGGCCCCTTCTCATAATGCCAACATTGCTACTTATCTCAACTTGCAATCCTTTCCATTAAAACTATTCAATAATATTTACTGAATAAGAAAGAAACTAGGAGAGAAAAGTCCTAGACTGCTCAAGGTAGTAGCCACTATACACATGTGGTTGCTAGACACTTGAAATAGAGCTAGTGTGACTTCAGGTATAAACTGTTTCATTGGACAACAGTCCAAACTGTAACCAGTCATACCAACACTAGCTCTCTGGGGCTGGCCTAAAATACAGAAAATCCACTAGCAACTTTCATGTCTAGGTAAAAACCTGAATCACTACTAATGAAGTACTAAGGTGGAGTCTTACCAACTTCAATCCTTGAAGGAAAAAAAGTTCTCAGAATCCATCTGAATTTTATGAGAGAAATATGATTGCTTCTTAAAATCTGTCAGGATATTGAGGATTCTAGAAAGTTCTTATCATAAACACAGGACTAATGGGTACAGTACAAAGCTCAGCTGTATTTCATTTACAACTCACTCTACAAATGATAAGGTAGCCAAAGATAATGAGAAACAGAATTTTAAGTGAACGCTGAAGACCTGGATTCAAGTCTAAATTCTCACCATGTGATTTCTGTGTGTAGTCCATATCCTAAATGTCAGCTGTTTCTAATCTGAGGATAAACTCAGTGGCCAAGTTCTGAGATGCAACAATCCTTTTAATGATTGTGGTGAACGCTAAAAACCCTCCCTTTGAAAATGTTGACACAGTATTTCAACTCTAATTCTAAAGATTTTATCCAGGTTGAGAATGTATTATTCCTAAGGTCCTTTATAGCTCTGTGTCATCTCCGAATTCTCTTATTTCCCCCTCCCCTAAAACCTCACACACACACACAAATCTGCATTCTAACTGCCATTGTGCCAACCCAGGAAGAGAACAGTCCACAACTTGGCTGGGTAAACAAAAGGCCAAAGGGTTAGGGAAGCTGGAGTTAAGTCAATAATTGACTTCCTAGCCCTTGAAAGCCTCTAGAGAAAGCAGTAACTTCAAGAAGACCACCAGTTTAGAATGACATGTAAGATTTAAAACCAAAGTCATTACAACTACGTTGGGGTGGAGGCAGGCAGAGAGTAGCCTGAGATTTGGCTTCACAAGGATCTTTTGAGACCCTAGGCCTCAGTGCAGCAATACGAAGAAAGGCAGACTACTGTGAAGGTTAAAAAGCAGGGCTCTGAAGGGCAGAGCGATGCTCGGTGTAATGATTGAGGCTCCACCGCTGCCTACACAACAAGCAGCTCCACCACGAAATCCTAAAACCTTCAGCCATCCACTTACCCCTCTTAATTTTCTCATCTGCAAAACAAAGAGGAGCAGCACGTGAAATACGAGGCACACCCCCACCGTCCCGTCGGATCCCGCCCGGAACCCCCGGAGGGGGGGGGGAGGGGGTTGACAGCTCCTCCGCGGGCCACTGGCCTGGGGGAAGCCCGGGCTCGGACGCGCCGACGGTACGGACTGCGAGGCGAGGCCCCGGAGGCGGGCTGGCCCGGCTCCACGGCTGGGGGAGCGGG